CATTAAAGATACAGTAATATACCTTTACATACTTATTATACATCGTTCACTAATAGCAATAATAACTTGTATATACAATTTTGAAGAGATACGAAAGTATAGGTACACTATGCATATCATACGTGTGCTATACATTACAATTAAAATATTTTCAGGGGCATGACTTTACAAAATTATCATTGCCCAAGCAAACACTTTAATGCTACCAAGAAATTAATTTGACTCTTCTTCTTCTTCTTCTTCTTCTTATCTTTAATAGGAAATAAAGGAACATTATATAAAGTAACTTTTACCTGGAATATCTGATTACTACCAAATTGGTATGAAGTAGGTACCAATAAACCAGAAGAGGTCGGACGATACATCATTCCTGCAACGTTATCTGAAACAGAAATTTGCAATCACATTTATACAAGCCAATTGAACTTTATTTTAATGTTCGATCAGTAATCGTGTATAATAAAAAATTACCCTGCCGCATTTGTGTTCCACCTGGTCGCAGTGTTTTCATATCTGAGTATCTGGGCTGCATAGGTGGTCGACCTCTTCCACGACCTGTGATCGGAGCAGGAAGTAGTTTTGGTAAAAGTGGCTGTGGTCCTTTGCCACCCATTGCCATGGCAGCAATTGCATTGGGATTAGTGGGTCCAACAGGTCGTGCTCGATTTAGTCTTGGTATCTTTGCAGGAGGTTCCCAATCAGCAGCTGGTTCTAAATTCTTCTCTGGTCTGAATTTTTTCGTACAGGCAAGTATATGCCGAGTTAGTTTGCCTTTTTGGTTGTCTTCAAACGGACAATTGGGGCATTGATGGAAAGCTGGTCCACGTTCCAACCTTCCACGAGTATTATGTTCCGCCTCCATGTGAAATAAGATATCGTGAGGACTACGCACCTCAATTGGACAAAAGTTACATTTGTAGACGTAATTGCGCATATGCGGAGTTTCTAAATGATGCTGCATGACTAAGGTCGATTCTGTTTTAAAACTACAGAATTCACATTTTTTCAGTTCTAAGTGGAATGGTTCATTATTTTCTTTACTAAATTCTAGGTTTTTGATGAGTGAATTTATAGCTAATTGAGTTTCAGCGGATGTGCTACCTTTGCCCTGTTTACGTTTTTGAGTCCGTAAAAGATCTGTTTGCACATACTCTTGAACAAGATTCACTCCGATTTGCATGAAAAATTTGCCCAATGGTAAGTCAAAGTATGTCAGTATTTTATTTCTATCATCTTGCCTTATGTCTTGTTTATCGCCTATATTACTAAATCCAGATTCAGTTAAGTCCACTGAATTGTCACCTCCTCTATTATCCTCTCCATCCTTCTTGCTCTTAGAGCTTCCTTCGCCTTCGCTTTCTTCGCCCTTATCTTTGTTTTTCTGACTCATATCCAATGAATCTTCATTGCCTTCTTCTCCCTTATTTTCTTCGCTTCTTTTGCTTTGTTCTTCCTTTTCTTTCTCTTCTAAGCATTGTTCCAATTTTGTGACAAAATCTTTTAATGGTTTAAGAGGTGGCTTTTCATATACATATGGTACTATAAAAGATGGAGCCTCTACGACAAACATATCATCAGTTAAAGTAGGTAATATTGGAGGTACTGTAGGTGTTACCGTAGTCATACTGCTTGTCTTGGGACTTAACTGTGCAGTTTTTGACGTCATGGGTACTGGTGTGATAGTTGTCCTCATATTAGGATACATTGTTTGTGTTGTCATACCCATTGGGACAACTGAAAAAGAACTAGAACTGGAGACAGTGTGATGAGGCTTACTGTTACTCACAGGAACACCACCACGCCCAGAAAGAATAGAGTTTGTATCTATAATAACTAAGGTGGGTTCTTTCTTCCCTCCTTTCACTGATTTACTACCAGCTGCAATTTCTACCAGACGTTTAGTATCGTTAACTACAATAGTAGTTTTACTGTTTTTGATTGGAGATTTTAGTTTAGAATTCTCTTTATCTTTACCATCAATACCAGCCAAAGGATCTTCTGGCTTAATTTCTTCTATGTCAGAACCATCATCGTCTACATCTTCTTCTTCTATTTCCTTTTCTATATAACTTGTCCTCTTTATATTACGAGAACTCCTTCTCGGTGTAATACTACTAAGGTCTACTTGTTTCCTTGGCTTCCTTTGTTTCGTAGGATCTTTATTAGCTCGCTCTGGCGAAGCATTATGACCATTCTTTGCACTATCAGTTATTTCTTCAATATCAGGGCTCTCACAGCTTCCATTTTCTTCGCATATTTTCACGTCAGACGTATCCATGGTGCTATCAGTAATTTCGCTACTGTTGTTAAGCTGATCTAAATCACTGCTGCCAGATAGATTCTGGTTATCCTTATGGGCAGAGTTTTTCATAGTGAACACATCGTCATTATCAAATTGTATCTCTGTTATGCTTTCATCCAAACATTCAACATCTGAGTTATTACTCTGTTCATCGATTTCCATAGCCTCACAAGATGTGTTTTTACACTTATCATCAGTTTTAGACACTTCACTAGAATTGTTCGTCTCACTGACACCCTCGGATGATTTAATTAGATTAGAGTCATCCCTTGACTCAAACATTTCACTCCCTTTACTCCTACTTTCCGGTATACTATCCTGCTCACTGTCTTCTGATTCTATTTCTCCATCTTCAATTTCAACTTCCATTCTACGTTCGTCCTCGTCATCTTCTTCCTCATTTTCCTCCCCCTCCCCTTTTGTGGCATTGTCTGTTTCTTTTGATGATTTAGATACATTCTCCGAATCAATAAATCCTTCGGTGTCATTATAATTTCCGTTAACTCCATTTGGTATCACGACATCTGTAAATCAGAAAAATTACCTTTAGATACGTATTACTTCTAAAATCTTAAAAATGTGTTATTACTTTAATACGCATAATGTTAGAACACATAAAATAGAAGACTAAACAAACTATAGAACATGAAACTCATCATATGTCAATGGTATATTAATTTTTAACATTTAAAGATCTATAATCTATTTATCTGAAGAATGATTTATATACAAATCGAACAAGCCGTACTCAGCTGCATGACACGCAAACTATTCAATCGGATCAACTGTCATGAACTGCAATAAAGTAATTTATTAATAAACAACCAAAAAAACCAACATGTTATGACCAACATCACTCTTAAGCCACCACTCCAGAAGACACAGTGAGTGAAAAGGGAATAAGTATCTTGGTTGATGCAGGGGAGATTGATTAAATAGTTCCAAGCAAGGAGAAGAGAACATACCTTTGAGAACCTTATCAGGACTGGCCTGAGATGAGTCCTTAATAGGGGGTTCTTCCAACGTGCCTTCCATGGGACCACCACTGTACAGTTGATCTAAACAATTAATAAGAACACTGGAATAAGCGGTTCGTGGCGACGACGCGTTTCATTACATCCACACGACGTGAACGCGAGGGGGCGGGGGAGAGGGAGGGGAATTTTTAGCGGGGACGAATTTTTCAAAATGGCGCTGCGAATTCCGTACTCCTATTTCCTTGTTCCCATAACCAACAAAGTTGGTGGGCAGGTCGGTTTCTAGTCGGAGCGTTGTCGAGATTTCTCAAGTCCAGCCGAAAAATCTGAATTATTCACAACAAGAGAAGCAATTAGGAGGGTAAAGGGAGTCACCCATGGATACCGTGGATAGAAACGATCGGATGAGGAGAGTCCTATGAAGTAGCTTGAATGGTTAGCGTCTCCTCAGTCAGTCACCTGCACTCGCCAGCCACCGCGTCCGAGCGCCAGCCAGCCAGCCAGCCAGTCAGTCAGCCCTCCGCGTACCTCTCCTCTCAACCTTCGCAGCAAACCTACCAACCTACACCTATACCTACGGCTTACACATCGAACTTTCGTCTCTTTCGAATGTACATGCCCATGTATCTTTATATACCAACAAACATACACATAGGATCCGTACGCATATATCTATACGAGAAGAGACCCATCAACTCAACTCACCATCCACTAGCGCTCGCGCGAGCGCACAACCTTCCTAACTCTATACTACATGCCGAATGGGACAACACGCCAACCACCTACAGAACAACCCTATGACCTACCGAATCCGATCATGACATACTGATCTCCCACGACGTTATTGCACTTAAACGGTTTTCCCGTCGAAAAATAATCGACGAAACTCAACTGTCACGAGGACCCGACGAAAAAACCTTAGACCACCGATCAACATTTTCGCGGAGATTACCGCGCGCGCGACGAAGAAGGAACTAGATAAACGCGGACCATTTTGTTAGATTATCTATAGAGGATCCACCTGAGTCAATGTTCGTGGCTAAGATATTCGATGAGAAATTTTTTACGTTGACCCGTTCGCTCTCGGTGTCAGAACGAGGGTATTAAGGGGGAAATGTTCATTCTTATCAAAAAAGAAAAAAAAATCTATATTACATTAATGTTTAAAGGAGTAAGAACGAACAGTCTGTTCGTGGATTCGTTTGAAGGACGCGCAAAGTTCTTAAAAAAGATGCTGAGCACAGTTTTAACCTGCACACCAATGTGTCGTCCTGATGCAGCGTGATGCATCGTTCAAGGCGACGATAATTACGCTGCTCGGTGAAAAAGAGAGAAATACGAAGAAGGGTTCGTGAGACCGGCGATCCGGGATGAGAGAGAATCCCCATTCAGTATGCTCGGTTCAGGGCATGTCTCGTGCTACTTAACTCGCTCTATTCACGGATCCCGGTAGCTCTACGATGCAACGGAACGCGCACAAACTCCGTCCGTATCCTGTCACCAGGCACAAATATACGCACCTGGCCGTTTCTTCTCCTAAACAATTCTCTGATATCGCGACATTTTTTTCACAACCTGCGTTCCTCGGCGGCAGCGGCGGAGCTACGATTCGTCCTTATACACACGATACACGATTTATTCACAAAACCTGTAAATAGTGAACATTCATTGCTGAATATTAGGCACCAGAGGGCAGGAGTGTGACGTTGGAAACGTTAAAAACTTATGCCCAGGGCCGTCGCAATGTCATGGGGGCTCTTCTCGGCGAGGGGGTTAAGCAGAAGCGAAATGGAATAGAAGGGGTCGCAGTGAAGAGAGACGAGTTATTTCTCACGATTTCTCTGTGTCTATTCGATCGCCCGTCACACTTTCAACGATAGCAATGCCCGTCGGACGAGTGTATATATATATATACATATATATTATTCCATCGGGGATGTAAAATTATTTTCGGAAAATTAAAGATCCCCCTACGGGTTTTTTTTGCTAACGTTCATTGGTCGATTAGAATCCCCATCACTCGAAACGATGGTCAAACAACGATATTGATTAAGTGCTTTTGATATTGAACGCATCCGTTCTTTCTTCCTCTTTTTCCTTTTTCTCTTTCTCTTTCTCTTTCTTTTTTCTCTTTTTACGATAACTGCGACGTCCGACGACGTTAACGTGTGTAGTCGTTGAAACACCTTGTTCGACTAGGAACGAGAATTACGGTGAAATGAAAAACAGAACAACTGAACAATCGAATTCATAAATATTATCGTATATTTGTTACGTTCCAGTGTATAATCATCTTAGAAGCATTCACGAGACTCGGGGATTCACGGATGGAATTCTTCCCTTCCGGTTGAAAAACTCTATTCTTTATTTTGCTGATGACGCGGTTTGATGAGCTAAATTACAATGCGCGTAGATAACACGGTTCCAACGATTAAATACTATCCCTTGGCATGGTTTTCAATCGAAATGGTGGCAATGGAATAATAACAATACTAATAATAACAACATCAACAACAACAACAACAACAACAACAACAACAACAACAACAGCAGCAACAGCATTCGAGTAAAAAAAAAGGTTCATTCCATAAATTTCCTCGATGTACGAAAGATGTCGATGAGATATTTTATCAAAATGAAAGTCTCGGTTATGCGACTATTTTTACCTTTTCTTTTTACTGATCTATATAGCGTAGAAATATCTTAATTATCGTGTATTTGTAGTAGAATTACAAACACTGCAAAGATTAGTATACATGTGTACGTCCAAAAAAGAAAATTCGTTACGGAGGAGACTGAAGTCTATCCAAAGAGGAGTTAAGTGTGGGCGAAGGAGGACGGGGGATGGCGGCGGGTGACGGGTAACGGCAAGGGGAAATTGAGAGGATAGTCACGGCCCTGGTAATATTGTGTTATTCGGTACCCAGAACTGTACAAATCATAAAATCCAACAAATCAATCGCACGCCCGTCGCCGTGTCATGTAAATTAATATTATCGTATACGACTGAGGGAAATCGAAGCACACGTGTCTGCTGGCTTATCGAAATTTAGAAAGCTCCCGCCATTTCTTTCGTAAGGGCTGGCTTAGCTGTCGAACAGCTGCCGTGGTGGTCGCTGGCCGATCACGATTATCCCCCCGAAAGAGGACCAATAATCGAAACACACACGCATCGCAAATGCCGCGCTATTTAAATTCACTGACCGTTCGGAGCACCGAGAAATATTCGGCAGCACACGCGACTCCCTCGGCACTCGATACACACCGTTTTTATACCGAAATTATTCACATATACTTTGTGTTTATTTGGGTTCGACGTCACGGATCCTTCTTACCTCCGTCGTCGAAAACTGCCAAGATGGCGACGATAATCACGTGACCGCAAATTTTATGACGTACGCGTAATGTTAAAGGGACAAAACGACCAGTAGCGTTTGTTATATATTGTCACGTGACCGGGTACACGTGCACATCCAATGGGAGACCCTCCTAAGAATAAGGGCAATCTGCAATTGTAACAATGTACAACAATAGGGTTGTTTAATGAGTCCCCGCCCTTTTCTGCGGGCGTTTTCGGTGGATACACCCTTTGACACTTAACATTCGAGTACTACGGAATTATTGGGGAATTGTAAAATATTTTGTTTATATTGCACTTATTGCATAACATTTAGTTTTTAAATGATTGC